GGAGGAGGGAGGTGGGTCTCTCTGTGTGCTCCGACTTCAGTTTTTATTTCTTGACTGGATATTCTTATAAGATTGTAAGGTGCTCGAGTGCCCTGGTTTGTGTGGATAATGTTCATCAATCCGTGGTCCACCGATCTGACATCCCTCTACGAGAGTGGTCTGCTGTCCTTGTGTCGGTCAACGTGGCATATAAAGAGGCCTATGGGACCCACTTTTGATAGGTCCCACCACTTAAGTGATATCCATGCCGAAAGCCAAACAAGCAAGGAATATTGCTGGATAACGATGAGTCGATGACCATCTGATACGCTGATTTTTTTTTTATAGATCAATGGTCTGATCAAGTAGGTTCGTGGCACATGGTAGGATCGATCAAATAGTGGGTCCCATTGTTTAACTACATAATATCTTGGATTCAATAATCTAAAATCTAAATAGGAAGATGACAGAAGATCATTTTCCATCTTCCAGGCACCACCTACATAATACAAATGGATTTGGATATTTAGCCTGTAAGAGGTTGCAAATTTTCTACGTGCAAAATACTGACCCGGCTGCCGCGTAGTTGTTTATGTAACAACAAACACACTCAGCCCCGAGACCAATTCTATAATATATATTATCAAGACAAACTTGGATTCAAGCCGTTATTCAAACTCAACTTAGAATGAATCAGGCTGAACTGGCCCATTGGGTTACCGGGCCCCTGAACAGACCATGGGTGGTCACTGCAAGCATAGCCAAATCATCCATTCCTCCAAACATGGGCGAGATGGCCTTCCCCTCCTACGCAAATACAATACACAGGTTTGATGATTCTAGGTCCTCCACTTGGAATGGAATTTGCCGACAAAGTTGTAACCAACGGCGCAGCCAAGGGGGCCAAACCCACCCACTGGTAGGAGGTAGCACACCTCTCTTTCTTGGAGCTAAAAGGATTCATAGTCGGGGCCTACAATCTGGATATTTTTGTATCCTTGAACAGAGGGGCTAGATAGTAAGCACCAGGGTAGTTTCAAAAATAGAAGAAGAGAGAAGTGCTATACAAATCTGGAGGTAGCACAGTTCCAGAAATCTTTAAAGGAGACGCTCAATGATTTGCCCTACCATTTTCTATTCTTGATACTCAGTCCAGATTCTCTATTTGCGGTGGAACCAGCCATTGCCTTCACAGAAGGTATGGGATATCTCTGTTTATTCAATACAGGCACATCGGCAGATACAAATTGGCTGAATGTAAATTTTGATTTCTTTTGCTTAAGATTTGATTTATTTTGTTCTATTTGTTTTTTTTTTTTTATTTTAATAGTTGTATTTAAATCAAGAAAAGGAGGGCAAACCACCCTCAAGAACATGTACAAAAAGAGACTTTACGAGGACATCCACCTATAAAAAAGTAACTACATCAAAAGATGATATAGTCCCAACTATTGAAGAGGTTATCTAATGGAGTGTCTTTGAACGGGTTCAATATTTTCTTTTATTTGCTTGTTAGAAGTAAAATAGAAAGCCAAATGATGGTCTCCACCTTATAAGAAAGAGAAGGCAAGAAAGAGGAGGGTTATTTGTTTTGAAATGAATCTAAATCAAGATGACATGGTACCAATTTATATGAGAAAGAATATTTATCAAAAAAAAAAAAATGAGAAAGAATTGAGGTGCAAATTTTGCATCAACTTTTCGGGAGCAAAGTTTATATTGCTAGTTCAGCACAAGGAGGAAAAACTGGGTTCAGTGGCCAATCACCACCCACCCATATTCCATGTAGGGTATGTTTTTACGTAAAATTGCTCAGCAGCAGCAGAGGATCACAGTTTTACAATGTGGGCTCTGTTTGTTTGCATTGCAAAAAGTGACAATCAGCAGTAGCAGCTGCAGAACAAAATCGTAGGATCACAATTTTACAATGAAGGTTCTGTTTGTTTGCAGTGCAAAAAGCGATTTGTAGCAGCTGCTGCTGCTGCAGAACAAAATTGTAGGATCACAATTTTACAATGTGTGTGCTCTGCTTGTTTGCAGTGCAAAAAGTGACTAGCAGCAGAATCGGAATAAAATTGTAGGATCACAATTTTACAATGTGGGTTCTGTTTTTTAGCAGTGCAAAAAGTGACTAGCATCAACGCTATTTTAATTGGTAAAATTGCATAATGACTACCAGCAGCAGAATGAGATTGTTTATCAGTGGGATGAACAGTGGATTTAACATTAGTGAGCACAATGACTAGCAGCATCAGATGAAATTGTAGAATCCCAGTGGTCATGGAAAAAAAATCACAATCGTTTATCAAGTACTTGAAGCTACCATTGTAAGAACAGCTTGGCCAACTAGAGGATCAATACATATAAATAAATAGATCAGGATGCCTAACTTGAACCTGCTCGGATTTAAGCCAGATTGACAATATTCATTCAACAGGGGTGGGTTAGCCAGATAGGAGTAAAATTAGGTTAATTAGCATTTGGAAAGTAAATCTCTACTAAGTTGAAGTTCTTTTGATCTGTTGAATATCCTTTAAAAATATACAATTGATACAGATCATACTCTTTTTTTGGTAAAATACTCTTGCCATCAGGATTAGAGATCTTATTTCACCAATACCTCTAAATGGCTCATGTCAAGAGTGCTTGTGCCCTTTTTTTTGTAATTATTAGGTTGATTATTTAATTGTTTAAGCTTGCTCCTTTTTTATCAGTATTTAATTATTTAATTTGTTCTGCAATGCCTTATTCAATTGCTTATGCTTCATAGCCATCATGTCTGAACTGTTTAATTCATTCTGAAAATTCTTATTGAAAGAGAAAAGGACATAGATAACAATAAGACTGTAATTTTGTTTCCACAGAAAATAAGTTTTACGAGCCTGAATTTCACTATGCATTGCAGAAGATGGCATCAAAGAGTTAAAGGTAGTGAGCAGTGAGCACTTGACAAAGGGTTCAATCAGAAACAGCAGCAACACATGAATCTATAGATTCATAGAGCTTGGTTCTTCTCAAACATTACATATGCATCTGACTAATCTGAAATATAGTCAGAAATTAAAATTTCCACCTTATTAAGAAGTTTAGCCATTAACTATGATTAATGCAGTGATGAATTGTTTATGCCTAAGCATAGGATTAATAATTTAGGTCATTGTCACTTTGTGTATGAGAAAATTAAATCAGGATAAACTGAAAAGGCATTTTAAAAAAACATGTTTGGTCTCTAATACTGATTAATTTTTCCAGTTTTTCAAATGTCACTACATCTTTTGCTGTCTTTACCCTGCCAACAACAAGAAATGGCAAGGGGTTTCTGTTCTCATACCCATCAATCCAAAAATAAGATAAAAAGGCCATCATCCAATATTAGTCCCAGCTATCTGGGGACTTGGGAGGGGTGGACTGGATAATGGACCTAATGTTTGGCATCTTTTTTGCACAAAGTGGGCAGTCTCAGACTCAAACCCCCACTCTCACGCTTGTAAGCACAAGGTTTTACCATCACACCAAAGAATGCCCCCCATCAATCCAAAGTAAGATGCCAATCATAATCTGAGATTTGCCACGGTGGTCCTGAACCACTCCAATGAAAGTTAGTCAAGTCATAAAACATGCTGTAAAACAAAAACACATTACCAAAAGGATGCTCTAACAGAATTACAACCACTGATAAAATCAATGAGCATTACATCTCAACCTTCCTCACCTCACCCAAACAGCCATCTGTGTGTTCTCCAAAGCTCACAAATCACACTCTGAATCCATGACTGTTATAACAGTATTTCTATTGATTGTTTGGCTGATTCTAAATTCATGTTTGTACAAAAGTTGATACTAACCCTCACAACCATATTAGAGGATGTAAAACTCAAAAATTCATTTTGAGCCTAGTGCTGCAGAAAAAGTTTCACAGAAGCTGAAAAAAATGTTTGGCAAGTCTGATTGGTGGCACCACATCTTCAAGTACACGGAAAATAGAAATTTGCATCTCAATGACGTTTGTCTTAGTGAGCTCAAAGACACAACAATCTCCTTCTTCAAGATTATTATCCAAAGCAAAATCAGCCCAACCTTTACTTATCCAAGTCATACCTTGTCTCAAAATGCACCGGGCAGGCCACATTCTTCCATCTGAAACTCGTAGTATGACATTTTCCTTTTTCATTGTTAGAAATTTCATGATGATACTGGATGGTACTTTCTGCATAAGTAGGAACCATTCTATCGTCATATTTCTTGGTAACATATAAGAGCTGTTATAAATTACTAGCTCTAGTTCAAGAACTCACCAAAACAAATCCCTTATAAACATAAGATGGTCTCATGATGACCATGAAGAAAGGGTTTTCAGACTGGAACATTTTGGCTGCCTGAACTGCTCTCTCTCTTTCTTCATTTGTCACTGGTCTTCTCCTTGACATAAGAAGTCTGGAATATGTCTTCATGACAGGGAAGCCCAACCTCTGCTCATTTTCTGTTAATGGGTTCTGTCCATCTGCATTTATCTATATAGTTAATAATGGAGAGGGCAATTACAGTAGCATGACAAGAACACTGGGTATTTAAAGAACTTACAAGGTTCAGTTCTTCGGCTCTTCTGAGCAATCTTTGCCATAGCTGAGAATTCCATGCTTCCATACCCTGGATTTGAGCAATACTGTTCAGCCTTGTCATCTGTTTGTTTACTTAGGCCGAACTGGAGGTCTACATCCTGAGAAGAAAATGAAAGTGACAATTGGACACTGACAGCATTGTTAGGTGAAAGTTGGCTGTTCCAGTGGATCCTATCTGACGAAGATCCATAAGGAGAAGAAATGCTTGGATTACTATACTGACTACCGGAGTGGATTGGAACCAACCCAATTTCATTATCAAGATCAAAAGCAAGTTCTTCAGGTTTCTTCTGTTTGACTTGGTTGGATTCTTCCCCCTTAGCTGATCCCTTCAACACCCTGTGATCTTCATTTTCCTCGTTCTTGTTCACAGAAATATTACTGGGTTTTGTCATGGACCTCTCTGTTACCTTTGCTTCAGTTCTCTGAGCACAGACCTTTCTTGAATTAGTATCAGACTTACATGGAGGAGAATCCTCCAACACTTCCATATCCTCTCCTTCTACGTCTTCTTCCCTGTGGGTTGATCTCCTTCTGCCCAGATTAGGCTCTTCACAATGGCGTGAACCAGATGGATATTGTATCTCGAACGTACCTAGTATATCAACATAAAAGTATGAATCTCCTTCGTACTTGAATAGAAGAATTTGCCCTTCATGCAGTGAATAATATTCAACAAACTCCTGCCAACCATTCTGGAACCAGACTCTTCCATCATCAGTTTTTCTTAAGCCTATATCCCAGATGTTATTATCAGGAACCATTAACACTGCAACATCGGAGAGATCTTCTACTTTCCTAATAAACTTTCTTGGGATCCCCTGTCAAAAACACAATTTATCTAAGTGTAAGAAATTGGAAAAAATGAAACAGAATAACAACAGAGCACCCCCACTAATTATTTATGCGTATGTTTGCAAGATCAGCAGGAGCTTTAAAATGAGAGTCCGATTTCAGACAGTACAAAATCAGAATAAATGCTCGGGTGGGTCATCCATGGATTTCTGTTGTCATTACAGAGATTATCACAGTGTTTGAGAAATTAACCCTCATCCTGTCCGTTTGTATCTTTCATGGAAAAGAAAAAGAATAGACAAAGAAAAAAAACTGTTCATAAAATTAAGAACTAAAAGAAGAAGAAATTCAAACAGCCTAAGAACTAAAATGGGCTTACTAGTTTGTGGGTGAATTCTTCACCAATCAATATCTTGAAGAAAGAAGGGCTTTCTGCTCGTTTTCCACCCATTTCGATGGTTGATGAGGGAAATGCAAATAGTGAGAAAGAAACGTTGCTCGAGTGAGCTGGCACCTCGGTTTTTTGTGGTAAGTCTTATCTTTTCTTTTTCTTTTTTGGTAAAAAGGTTGAGTCCATCAAAGTTTTAAAAAGGTTATATTAATGTCAGACCAAATAAGTTATGAAATTATCAAGGCCGTCGAATGTGGCGAGTCTGACCGTCCAAAACATTCCAAAACCAGAAAATATGGAAAATGACACGAATTTTCCGGGCAGGTTGTCCAGATTTATTTTTTCTGTGCCACAGTCTTGGAGTTTTTTATTTTTTAATATTAATAATAATCTTACGCGATGTAACTTTTACGAGAGTCCGTATCTGCTATCACAAAACGCTACTCACACTAATTCCACTCATATTCTGACCGTACATCGGAAATATCTTTTAATATTTATATTTATTAGGATAAATTACAAAGAACTATTTTATTTTGTGACAAAAGCCCCTTAATACGATTATGAAACAAATACCCCCTTTTCGTAGCTTTTCCTTGAAATAAACATTGTTCGTCTTGGTGGCCGTAATCCCTTCTACCTCATATTCACATTTTTCTCTCTCCCTCTCCTGATCTCTCTTCTTCTCCTTCTCCTTCCCCTTCCTCTCTTTTCATTTCTTCTTCCCGCTTTCCTTTGTTCTGTCTGTAACTCGAATACAGGATTGTAATTAGCTGATCAATAATCTCTTCTTCATCACTGAGTTTGTATTTGGAGTCTTCTCCTCTCAATAGGCCACCAAGCATGTCATGGTGGATAGATGAAGAGGTTCGTCTTCTCTCTATGATTGTTTTCAGATGCTAATGATATTCTTCCGTGTCTGTGGAATTACTACAGTAAGTGAAAATATTCACCAAAAAACCATCAAGAATTATGTTTTCTATAACATACCTGGAATCCACGTCTGTAAGTTGTCCCTGGTAGATTAATTGGCAGTAAAAGAGTCCCTAGAACTAGTTTATAGAACTCTGGCTTGAAGGCTTCAGCTATCAAACTGGATTCGGTGCCAACAATCTAATTGAGTGATGACAATAGAGCCATCTGCACAAGAGAACAGAATTGGACGAAGATAAGGTTTGCGAGAGTCCTAGGAGATCCCGGATCTGTCTTCTGTATATTTCTTGTACAGTTAGGATTTAGAAGTTTAGACGTTTTGTTTTTCTTTTTGGATTAGGAAGTTTTGGGGAGGAAAAACTCCATCGAATCTGTATATATATATATCATATGATAACAATGGAAAAATCAAGACCTTTGGCTTCCGAAATTTTTCATGGTATCAAAACAACCTTCTGGCAGCCATTATAAGATGGTAAAGCTCATCGACACCGACATTGATGTACTCTGAGTCCCAGTCCCTGATTTCTTCGTTGTAGTAGCGGCAGGTCTGGACTCTTCTTCCTCCTCTAGACCGAAATAGAGCAGCGACCGATCGGCGGGGCGACAGTTACTTCACACCCCACTCTTCTTCTCGTAATCCCACGAGGGAGAAGTCTTCAAGGACTGTAGCTCATCCCCTTCCTTCGAACCCAACCCAGAAGGGCGGCGAACACTGTTCCTCTTCCTGTTCGAACGGAACTAGCGACGGTACTGTTCATCTTCTCTGACCTCGCGACACCAGAACATCGGCGAAATCCGGCTCATTTGTCGTTTGATCTTCAGCAATTCCTCACCGTCTCCTGCGGACCAGTGCTTATTCCCCATCATCCACATTTCCTTCTCAGCGGGAAAAACATGAATCCTTCGAAATCCACTGTTCATCATATCTTTCCTGCGAACTGAACAGGGGCAGCGGCTGTCTCCTATCTCTATCTCTTTATTGCATTCGCTGGACAAATAGATAAAACCGTAGCAAACGTCATTAGAAGTCTTGCTCAGCCGAGGAATCACTGTAGCACTTCCCAGTCTAACAGATTTGATGCACAGAGATAGCACCAGCACCAGCACCTTTATCTCAATCTCTTGAGTCACAGCGGGTATTGTTGATCGGTCACCATTGCTGCCAACAACGATAGGAACGGTGAGAGCTCGAGTAAGTTTGTTGGACCATCTTCTCCTTTTTATTTGCATCCATAAGATAATGTTGGTTTTGCAGCACAAGCCTCGCAGACATCGCAAGACAGTAGAGTTGTTTCAAAAGACAAAACAATTGTGTGTACAATTGTGGTCGATCTGGCCATGAAGCAATTCCAATTGATTGGATACCCTGAATGGTGGGGAGACAGACCCCGCGGTATGTCGACCAGGCGTGGAGCAGGACGAGGAAAAGGGGGTGGACCCTCTAGCGGATGTGGCCGAGGTACGGCAAAAGCTCATGCTACTCAATCATCAGTGGGGTGAGGTGGCTGCTAATGCAGTTGTGACTGACGGAGACGAGATCGGACTGAATGGGCTTAATGACGAGCAATGGCAGACTCTTGTAAGCATGCTTAATGCTTACAAAACCAGGACTAATGGAAAACTCTCTGGTAAGAATTACTCCACTGAAAGGATTGTTGACTCTGGGGCGTTACATCACATGACAGGGAATTTAAATGTGCTCGTCGACACCTATGATGTTGCACCTTGTCCTGTTAGGTTACCCAACACACTGAGGCCGTGAAAGAAGGCACTGTTGAACTTGGAAATAATTTTAAATTGCTGCACGTATTATATGTCCCAAAACTCAATTGTAATTTATTGTCAATAGGTCGGTTATTTCATGACAGATTATATTGTGACATTTACTAATAAGTTGTGTGTGATATAGGACCGCATCTCGAGGACTCTGACTAGTGCGGGTGAACAGCTTGATGGGGTCTATGTCTTCAAGGGTGTAGCGCCAGTTCGTGCTTACAAGACAGATGGAATTGGGTCATGCGATTTGTGGCATCGGAGATTGGGACACCCTTCTTATCAAACGGTTAGCTTACTTCTTAATATCAGTAATAGTAAGAACAAAACATGTGATGTTTGTTTGAAGGCAAAGCAAACTAGAGATATTTTTATTCAAAGCAGCAATAAAGTGACTGATTGTTTTGCATTAATTCATTGTGACTTATGGGGTGCTTATAGAGTACCTTCATCTTGTAGTGTTGTATATTTTTTGACAATTGTTGATGATTATTCTCGAGCGATTTGGATTTATTTATTGGGTGAAAAAAGTGAAGTTGGTTGAACACTCAAAAATTTTTGTGCCATGATTGAACGACAATTTAATAAGAAGGTTAAGGTGGTGAGAAGTGATAATGGAACAGAGTTTAAATCCTTGAAATCATATTTTGACGAGCAATAAATTTTATTTCAAACTTCCTGTGTTGGAACACCCCAACAAAATGGTCGTGTGGAGAGAAAGCATCATCATATTTTGAATGTGGCCAGAGCGCTTAGGTTTCAAGCACATCTACCGATCAATTTATGGGGTGAGTGTGTTTTAACCACAGGGTACTTGATTAACCGAACACCTTCAACACTTCTTGGTGGTAAAACACCTTACGAGATGCTATTTGGACAAAGTCCTTCTTATAAACATCTTAGAGTTTTTGGTTGCTTGTGTTTTCCGCATACTCGGGACCGTGACAAATTTGCCGCTAGGAGTAGGAAATGTGTCTTTATTGAGTACCCTTTTGGGAAAAAGGGGTGAAAATTATACGACATTGAGTCTGGTGACTACTTCGTCTCACGAGATGTGGTGTTTAATGAGACTGAGTTTCCCTTTGCCACTCCGGAATATCAACCCTCAAAAACCAGTCCTCCTGTAAACAAAGAAAATGTTGGGTTGCCTTGGGCCACTCCTCCTAACATGGTATCTGAGTCACCTCATATAGAAGTCAGGGGGAGCGACATGATCAATGAAGAAGGACATCAGAACACGGGTAATGATGAGGAGGCAGGTCCTCTTGATGAGACAAGGAGCCATACATATTGCAGAAATGATGAAACTCCAGCTGCTCCTCAGCCCACCACGAAGTTATTAGGCCGTAGACATCGAGAAAAGCGGCCCCCCAGCTATTTACAGGACTTTGTCACACACTCTGCTCGTCGTTTAGACCCCTCCGTTGTTTCTCCCGCATCATCTCAGTCCTCAGGTACTCCTTATCCCATAACTCATTATGTGATGTATGATAATTTTTCTGTGAAACACAGACATTTCTTGGCAGCTGTTACTGCAAGCCGAGAACCTACTCGTTTCTCTGAGGCAATGACTGGTGTTCGGTGGCGCGAGGCTATGCTCCAAGAGATACAGGCTTTGGAAGACAATGGGACATGGACCTTGGAAGACCTCCCACCTGGAAAAAAGGCAATCGGGTGTAAATGGGTCTACAAAATCAAGTACAACTCTGATGGATCCATTGAAAGATTTAAAGCACGGTTGGTAGTCCTAGGCAACACTCAAGTTGAAGGTCTTGATTACATCGAGACCTTTGCCCCTGTGGCTAAAATGGTCATAGTTCGAACCTTCTTAGCAGTTGTTGCGGCCCAACATTGGGAATTGCATCAGATGGATGTCCACAATGCTTTTTTGCACGGTGATCTCCATGAGGAGGTCAATATGAAACCTCCTCCAGGTTTTTCGGCCTCCAGGACTAGAAAGGTATGCAAACTCCGAAAATCTTTGTATGGTCTGCGGCAATCCCCTGGAATTGCTTCTCTAAGTTAGGTGCTGCCTTGAAAACTTTTGGGTTTGAACAGTCCTATTCCGATTATTCCTTATTTACATATCGCAAGAATGGGCTTGTCTTGCACGTCCTGGTTTATGTTGATGACTTAATCGTTGGTGGGAATAACCCGGAGTTCATACACAAATTTAAACAGTATATGAAACAGTGTTTTCACATGAAGGACTTGGGTGTTCTTAAATATTTTTTGGGCATCGAAATGACTCGCGGATTATCGGGGATATTTCTTTGCCAAAGAAAATATGCACTTGATATTATTACAGAAACTGGCTTATTGGGGTCCAAACCTACTCCCTTTCCTATTACTCAGAATCATAAACTTGCCCTTGCTAACGGAGCATTCCTGGATGACCCTGAACGATATCGATGTCTTGTGGGCCATTTGATTTATTTAACCATTAGAGGGTCGGAGCTCAGTTATTGCATCCATGTCCTGGCTCAATTTATGCAGTGTCCTTGTGTTGATCATTGGGATGCAACATTACATGTGGTTCGTTATCTGAAAGGACGTCCTGGTCAAGGAATATTTTTGCGCTCTGATAGTGATCTGCAATTGTATGCCTATTGCAATTCCGACTGGGCGAGTTGTCCTCTAACTCGTCGCACTCTTACTAGGTACTTTGTCATGTTAGGACATTCCCTCATCTCCTGGAAGACTAAGAAACAACATACTGTCTCCCGATCCTCTATCGAGGCTGAATACCGATCAATGGCTACTGTTAGTTGTGAGTTGAAGTGGCTGAAAGGTCTGTTGTCATCTTTGGGGATATCTCATCCTCAACCTATACACTTGTTTTGTGGCAATCAAGCTGCTCTGCACATTGCTGTGAACCCTGTTTTCCATGAGCGAAACAAACATATTGAAGTTGATTGTCATTTCATTCGCAATGAGCTCCAAGCTGGCACCATTGCGCCTTCCTATGTATGTACCGATGAACAAGTTGCCAACATTTTCACAAAGGCTCTTGGACAAAAACAGTTTGATTTTTTCCTTCCCAAGCTGGGCATTCGCAATCCTCATGCACCACCTTGAGGGGGAGTATTGGACAAAGATAAGGTTCACAAGAGTCCTAGGAGATCTCGGATCTATATTCTGTATATTTCCTGTATAGTTAGGATTTAGAAGTTTAGACGTTTTGTTTTTCTTTTTGGATTAGGAAGTTTTGGTTTTTAGAAAGTTTTGGGGAGCAAGAACTCCATCGAATTTATATATATATATATAAATTTTTCATAAATTAAAATTAAAAATGATCAACTAATGAGATTTTCCTCTTTTTTGTTGTTCTCTCTATTTTTCTTAGAAATATGCAAGTTTTTATTCTACCCGATGGCTCAGTGAATGTATTGATTCTAGGAAGCTTTAAATTAAATTTATATTAAAAGCTAACAAATTTCTCTTGCTTCTCTTCTCCTGCTATTTAACCACAAGGCCTTTACGGTTTTTCGTTGGATCTTACAGTTTATTTAATTGAAGTGCAGACGGAAACACAAAGAAATTTAGCTACGATTAGTTGATAATGTGGTTTGTTTCTGGGTCAGAGTTCTTTTGGGTTTTGATGATTCAACTAACCTCTTTCGTTTTCTCTTTCATATCTATAGTTTTTCCATCCCAGTTACTGAGGTGGGATCTCATAAACTTATCAATCTTTGGAAGAAGTTGCTCTCTAATCATGACAGAGCTTATGAGGCTAAGCAGGGCTCCTCTCATAGACTTATGTAGTGGACCATGAACAGCAGCAATGTTGCAGTTCCCCAGAATATCCAACATGGACAGGGTGTTAGGGGTGTCAATTGGATTGGATTGGATTTGGTTCAATCCGATCCAGTCCAATATGAGTTCATTACAAATGGACCTGGTCCAATCCAACCCAATGAATATTTTGGATTATTTTGGATCGATCCATAGACTATTGGTCCAATCCAATATGGACGGACTAGGTCCAATCCAATATGTCTTATTGGTCTGTCCAAATGGATTTTGATTTGAACATAATCCAACCCAAAACTGGGTCCATTGACACCCCTACTGGGAGTAACCAGGAATAAGACCTTTTCCTTCATTCAACAGTATATACCTGTTGAGCTCTGGATCCATGGAGGATTTGAATAAGCTTCCATACCTGTTTTGTGGACGAAGGAAAGGAAAACTTTCACAATACAGAGGGTAAATTTCTTAAACTATCTTTATGGTTCAGTAAACTGATTAAGTATACCCTTATTGTTTGAAAATTGACTAACGCTACCTTGTGTTTTTGACAATTCAGTGTACTTTACTATTTTTGACAATTTTACCCTTATTCTTATTCAAATTTTCAAAATAAAACAGAGAAAGGGGAAAGAAACGCTGATTCATCAAAATCCTAACCTTTCAAATCCAACGAAACCTCAAAATAAACAAACATCAAGAGTATTATATGGTGATTGAAATAGAAGAAGGGAACGAGAGAGAATGAAGGTGAAGAAGAGAGAGAGACCTCATGGTTTCGTTGTTGCAAAAACCTCTCACAGAGAGACTGACGTTCTCCCCTGCATCCAAGATGCCACCATTGCTGCTCTTCCCCTCCCGTTCCTGGCATCCTTCATAAACAACATCCTTCAGAAACGGCTCTGCAGACAAATCTAGAGAAAAAGAAAGACCACTGTTGGTGCTCTTCCATTTCTCTGCTCCCTCTATATCTCTTTCCATGTTATCCCCAAACAAAACCGAAACCCTTGATGTCACTTCCCCTCCATTTCCGTCCTCATCCTCTCCCCTCACTGCATCTCTTGGGTTTCCCAATGAAATCTCCATATAAAAAGGAAAGCCCAAAACAATTTAAAGAGCGGCAGAGTGGCTGAAACAATGAGAGCAAAATCATAACATGCTAGACTCGATATAAAGTTGCTGCATCTTGGGTTTGGGCTCCATCCAAACCCAGCCCCAGCATCAAAGACCAAGATGTCGGTCACGGAAACTATGCTGGACTTCCAAATTGGCTTTTCTTATTAGCGGCTATGGCAGAATTAATCAGAACTGTGGCAACATTCTTCATATAACGCTCGGCAATAAATCTCCTCCATAAATTGCTCCTTTTCTTGCATCTCTTAAAAATGAAATGAACTGAAAACTGTGGACACTCTATGCTCGGAAAAGAGACCTCCTCCATAAAAACCAGTGCCAGACTGTCATCTCTAGGCTTTATTTGCTCTCATCTCTTTTGCATCTCTGCTTTTTTTCTAGTGTTTTCATCTAAAGCGCTCATAATAAATGTTTGTCTCGTGATTTCTTCCATTTTTTCCTGATTACAGAAGACATCTCACTGTAGAGAACCACTCTACCGTTGGAAACCCATCCAAAATGCTACCAGATTCCTGCTCTCTCGGTCGTCGGATACTGACGGGTATGATTCTCTTTGTTGCAGTGGCCGTTGGAAACTGACGGGTATGATTCTCTTTGTTGCAGTGGTCGTCGGATACTGCAGTGGCCGTTGGAAACCCATCCAAAATGCTACCAGATTCCACTCTACCGTTGGAAACTCCGACGACGGAGTTTCTACGTCTTTTCTTGCTCGATTAAGCGATTGGTCTAATATCAATTCCACGATTGATACCCAATTTGTTCTCTCCTATAACAAATTTTTGTAGTGTAAGATGTTTCCTTGACAACATCCAATGGTAGTGATTATAGGGAGTTGGGCTTGAAGTGGCCGTTCCGCATGCCTTGATGACTTTGTTTATTTTTGAGGTTTGAGAGGAACTTCGGATAGCTTACTAAGAGCACGGTGAAAGTGAATGAAACCCTTCATCCTTTTAGCATGGGCTGATTTTCATGTCCTGTTATCTGTGCCTGAACTCATCAGGAGAAAGAAGGGGAGGGAGATAAAGGGTAAAATTGAGTTTTAAAAAATATATATATCACATGTGAATGAGTTTTGATAAAATAATATCGGATCTTAATTAATGATAAGGGTAGAATTAATCAATTGTCGAACTAGTGTTAGTCAAATTTCAAACATTAAAAATACACTTAATCAATTAACTAAATCATAATGATAATTTAAGAAATTTATCCTTTATAAACTTCATGTATATTACTTGTTAAGTTTAATTAGACTTGCAAACTTCATGAGTTTAGCTTAATATCATTTGAATTCAGTTCGGTTCGATGAATAATTAAACTTTGAATTTGACTTCAAGCTTGATTTGGATGGAGCCCAATTGAGTTTTTTATGAATTTAGGTGGAATGGCTTGTGAACTCGTATCCAGCCCAATTTCTTATACTATATGTTTTGTTGTCGGGAGATCCAAGGGCGGTATTATAATACTAATGGGGTAGGGTGTTTCCTAATTTAATAATCAATATTGGCTTTTTGATTATAATGATTTTGAGAGTTTTTGGATTTCGGAGAATTATCAAGTTTTCTAAATGCCCTTATAGGAGGGTTGAGATGATTCGATTAAGCGTCTGTTTGGAATTATTGCTGTTGTTCCAAAAAACGGCATCACATCAACGCCATATAAGAAAAAATGGTGTTTTAGAAAACAGTCTCATGTTTGGAACTGTTTTTCCATAAAAAACGGTGTTTCAAGTCACACCTTAAAAATCGGGATGGCATGGCTTGGAGCAACACCAAATTTGGCTTTTCTTGGGGTTGCAGCTTGTTGCTACCAGCGGAGTAGTGATGTGGCAGTGGATAATGGGTAGAAGTGCAGAAAACATTTTTTTGAGCATTGGTACCAAACAAGAAAAAGTTGTTATTGCTCCAAGAAATGTCCTATCTGGCAGCAATGATTCCAAACAAAAAAATGGCACCATTTTTTGAGAAAATGGTACTCCAAGCCACACATCATCAGCACCCTTTTCTGAGAAAACGGTGCTGCAACTGCAGCATCGATGCCAAACATATACTAAATTGGTTTGCATTTGCTCTCATTGGTGCTACGACCCATCCCATGGCAGGGGATGAAGTGGGGTGGTATTTGTCCACCCCATTAGGGGTGGATACAAACTGAACTTTTAACAAGTTTTTTAATTCAAAAAGCTCGATCCGTTCAGTCTAAAGCTAAGCTTAAGCTCAATATAAAGGATCATTTATTAATCGAGTCAAGCTCCAGCCAAATAAAGCTTGGCTCATGAAGTTTACAAACTTAATCGAGTTCATGTTATATATAATATCTTTAATTTATATATATATATATATATGTTTAATTCTTTATTTTTTATGAAGTTTGGCTTACTATCAAACTTGAGCCAAATCAAGCTTGAACATATGAGCTTCTGAGTTGAGTCAAATTTGAGTGCATGTTTATAGGTTAAAGCTTGAAGCCTTGAAGTCAAAGTTAAGCCTCACATTTTTTTCTTTTTTTGTTGAGTCAAGCTCAAATAACTAGATATTTAGCTTGAATCCACCCCTACACCCAACTTCAAACCCGTTTTGATAGATAATGTGTTATAATATGTTATTTTATATTATGTTTATATATTATTATATATAAATATTATAATATGACACCTATAATACACATTATATATAATATTCTATATTATATAATGTATAAAATAAATTTTATACACATATTATATAATATATTATAACATGTATAATATGTTTTTTTCTCAAGAAAATAGGTTTGCACGTAGGAATTAGGGGTGTAAACGGATCGAATTTGAATCGGATTAAATATTCGAATATTCGATTTGAATTCGATTAATTAATTATTTTAGATAATTAATAAATATATCAAATAAATATTTTATTAATATAAAGTATATAAATATATAAATTATTTATATAACTTCATTATTATATATAAATTATATAAAATATTTTATATATTATAAATAAGAATTAAATAAACAATCAAATTTAGATATTTATCAAATCAGGTCATATCCAAATTCGAATCCAATAAACTACTCGGTATGAATAGAATATCCAAATTCAACCGATTAAATATTTGAATTATCTGAGTTCGATTCGATTATGTCAAATATCGAATTCAAAATTGGATTTTCAAATATCATTTACACCCCTAATAGGAATGGCCAAGGAACGATGGGACAAATTCGGGGATTTTCAACCCCATTGGGAGTACCGAGCAGGAATGGGGTGCCATACCTGTGTTTAGAGTCGGGGGTGGAGTATGCATTATTGCAATAACCAACCCTACCCTTCTCCGTTGCCATTTCTATTTGAAGCCCTCCCATTGGGAGGCGAAAGCACAGCGGCTTTTGGTTTTCTAAAATGGGCCTTACATGAACAGCCTTTAAGCTATGCTTCGTGAAAACTCAGGATAATCTAAATGGGCTACGAAGTCGATCATTTTTTTGGACTCTCTCTATAGCTTCTTTAGCTGAGTGTTAAGCTAGCTCTTATAAACTAGACCTCAAGAGGCTGAAGTGGATAGCCCTTCAAATGACTGAATGACAGCCAATTTGAACTCTTCGGATTGTTTACCTATCCTTGTAGGTGTCGACCTTGAAAAGCAAAAGCCTATGCTTTTCAGCTGTCCCAAATGGGCACTAAAATCATTGATAGAAATAATACTGGGGGACAATTTCTCCAAAAATTATGCAACTCACACAACATTATTTACACAAAAACAGTAACAACATTGTTGGTTTGCATATTATTGGCATTGACATGTCAAAAAATCAATTTGAAAATCACAGCTGATTTGTGAAGCATCTCATCAAGCTTTAGGCACTACCACAGATGATGAAAATTGGTACAAAATTACTAATTGATTCCTATATTGGTTTTTCAGAAATTGGTCTATCAAATGAAAATTTTCACAAAATTTCTGGTAATCAGATGGTGTGGCAACTTGTATCAGCAAATCATATTCCTCCAAGCAAACATAATCGGAGTTAGTGATCAGAGAGTGTGCCTTTCCTTTGGTTTAAACCGCACCTAGACCGGCAGGAGACCTTACCAATTAGCTTGTTGGCACCTTGGCTTAAAATCTCAACTTCAGGTCTAAACCTTGGCCAACATGGAGACTCTTAAAGCTCTATGTGAGACTGAAGTCGATGTTATAAGGTATGAAGGGTTAATGAATGCCAGTAAACAATAGATTTGTGCCTTTGATTTTCTCACCCTATAGACATGGTAAAAACAAAAAACAAAAAAACAAAAAAACTTTCAACTTTGCCTAGTGAAAAGTTCTGGCCGAAGCCATCTTATATGTGTGGACCTGATCTGGGCCTGGACAGAAAACCTAGGCCCAGGAACAAAAATTTGCAAGATGGATTGGCCAATTTTAAAAACAAAAAACAAAAAAACAAAAAAACTTTCAACTTTGCCTAGTGAAAAGTTTTCTGGCCGAAGCCATCTTATATGTGTGGACCTGATCTGGGCCTGGACAGAAAACCTAGGCCCAGGAACAAAAATTTGCAAGATGGATTGGCCAAGCTAGGAATGATCATCTTAATGACCATACAAGCTTGATGAACCTGCACATAAGTTGGCCCAATTTGGTAAACAGTTGCTGCTACTACCTGATACATGGTTTGATGCTCCTTCTATATTGCTGAACAACTGGTTGTACATATATTTTAGGTACTATTTGATTGACACCCTCTGTGGTATTAGTAAAACGAGTTCCTATCCCTTCTTGGACTGGGCTTTAATAGAAGCTTTCTCCACCTGGCGTGCTAATATGGAGAAAACGTCGTAGTTGTAATGTTCTCTGCAATCTGATCTCGGCACAAGCAACTTCCCTGCGCAGAAAACTCATTCATCGGTGATTTGGTAGGTCCCAACTCCCAATCTTGTGTTCTAGGTACAACCTCTAAAGTTGCCAACTATTCCTTGTTTAGCATCAAGATCCACCATTTGATGGGTCTTATCTTGTGCATGAGTTGGACCAAAACTATTAAATTTAATTTGATAGTAGGCCTGTGGCTTGTCAAAAATCAAGTGTTGATTTGTAGTTATATTTGGCACAACCAATATTTTAGTTGCCCCCATTCGATGATGATTTAGGGGTGTCAATTGGATCGGATTTGGTCCAATCCAATATGGATCCATTACAAATGGAGCAGGTCTAATTCAATCCAATGAATACTTTGGACCATTTTGAACTGGTCCAATTTAATGTTTGAACCGTCCAATCTGTTTCAAATTGGTTTTGATTAGATTTGTGCAAATATAAATTTAATCCATTGACACCTATATTCTTCTTATCGTCTATCAATGAATCAGATATTGGTTCAATCTGAACCAATCTAATATAAATCTATTATGTATGGACCATGTTCAATTCAATCCAATAAATACTTTGAATCATTAAATCTAGATTGGTCCAATTCAATATATCTTATTGGTCCATCTAATCGGTTCAAATTGATTTTGATTTGGAGGGCTCCAATCCAAAACCGGTCTATTAACGCCCCTAATGATGAATCCCAGTTCTTGAAGCATGGGAAGGTAGACAACTTATGGGACCCCAGATCTCAAGACACCATCGCTGATGAATTGAGTCTTGTTAGCACCAAACCCAATTATGAACGATTTTGGGACTGTTGATGCTACCCACCAACACAACACAAAACCCAAGGCAAGCCAAAATCCATCCTATCTTCCAACCAACCCTAAC